CAGTGATGATCCCTGTGGGTCCCTTCCAACTCAGGATACTCTGTGATTCCTGACTGCAGCATCACAGGCATGTTCACCCCCACAGAGCCCCTCGGTGTGAGCAGCTCCAGTTGATCCCTGTGCAAAAGGAGATCCATACCTGGCTGAGCAACTGCCCGTGGAAAATGGTGTTCACCACCTTCAGCACCTGCTTGGTGAGTTTCCTCTGCGAGAAGGGGATGAGGATCCTGCGCTTGGTTCCCTCCGACTCCAACTCCTGCTGGACCTTGTCCAGCAGCTCACAGAGGAATTCCTGAGCGTCCTGCTGGTCGTAGCCCCGGAATGCTGGGATCAGGCTCCACACGGAGTGCAGCATGGCAAAGGGGGACACCAGGGCCCACTTGCCAGACCACATCACCCTGAAGAGGGTGTGCAGCTCGTGGCAGAGGGAGATGTGCTTCGAGCTTGGCTCCTTGGGCTGGATCAGCTCTAAGCTCCTGCTGATGGAGGAGCCTCCATTCAAGCCAGCTGGCAAGCCCTGCGTGCCAGATGATCCCACCCTGTCAGGCTGCCCTGGCTCACTGGCAGCAGCCCCATTTGCCAGCCTGCCAGGCACCCTGGCCCTCCCGTTCACAGTTTTAGCTAAGAGTTCTTCTGTTTCACAGAGATCAAGTGTCAGAAAACATTCCCTAAACTTCTGGAGGTGGCTGAGCACTTGCAGGATGGAGTTCATATAACAGGTATTGCCCAGGTTCCTCAGCCCTGTCACCCCTGGAGTCATGGCAGGCTGACGCCGGATGGAGTAGAACTGCTTGAATCTTCTGCTCTGCATCTGCCTTGAGGTAGGGGAAGTGGCCACCTCCCTGAATTTACTCGGGATCAGGTTCTCCCTGTGCACGTGGGACAGCAGCCTGGCACTCTTCCTGGGAGGGGTGTTTGCCAGCTCCTCCAGGAGCTGCCTCTTGACCTCCTGCCGCCGCTGCCGCAAAAAAAGCTCCTCCAGCTGCTTCTTCTGCTGCAGCTTCAGCTGCCCCCGGGAGCTCTTACCAAACCAGGTCCTCAGTGCCCGCGCCAGCAGGGCCTGGCGCCGGTGCCAGAGAGCTGTGAGCATCTGAGACTGCCCCTGAGGGCTCCTCTGAGGGCCACGCTCCTCGCCCAGCGCCATGGAGCGCAGAGTCCTCCCGCCCCGACCCGCCCGGTCACACCTCTGACCTCTGATGGCCAACAGAGAACTCCTCAGCAGCTTCAGGTCTCCCTCGGGGTTATCGTTCAAGACATAATCCTCACAGAGGTAACAGAAGACGTAGAGGTCGTGAACCTCCATGGCCAGGGGGTGCCTGGTCTGCTGGAAGTGCCGCAGCGCGTGCTCCTCCAGGTACCGCCCGCAGGCCACGTGGGAGCACTTGAGGCAGGCCCAGAGCGACTCCGTGGTCTGGCACTCCACACAGTGCCACTTCTGGGGGTTCAGGATCGAGTGGTCCTGGGCGAGTCGTAGCCGCCCGACATGTTTGCATCTATCCATGTCTCACAGGAGGCTTCGCTGCTCGGACCTGGCAGGGCAGAACACACAGAGAAAAGGGGTTTGGAGCCATGACAGGTACTGGAAATCTCCTCAGAGAATCATGGAATATCCTGAGCTGGAAGGGACCCACGAGGATCATCGAGTCCTACTCCTGCCCTGCACAGGACACCCCAAAATCCCACCCTGTGCCTGGGAGCATTGGCCAAACCCCCCCTGAGCTCTGCCAGGCTCTGACCACTGCCCTTCTTTGGCACCAGCTGTAAAGACCTATAAAAGCATCAGGAAAACAACTGTTTTACTGAATGCCTGTTGGAATGGGAGGGAAATCAAAGCTGGGAAAGGAGGAGGTGCAAAGAGCTTTCACTCCGTGTCCTCTGTGTGTTGGATAAAAGATACTCAGCCCTGCAGAGAGCCCAACTGAACCCCAGGGCCCTAGTCCAGTCCCTCCAAGGCTGAGACCCACGGGAAGGAGAGGAGACCCACAGGAGGGAGAAGAGCCCACACACTACTCACGGAGTCATGGTTACACATCCTTTCCTCCGTGACGCAGCATCCCGGGCACGGAACAGCTCCATGTTCCAAAGGAGTCTTGGTGGTTCTTGGAGAATTTAATTACAAGTCTTCCTTGTAAGGCAGCAGAGCTTCAAAGCCCTGCAGAGAGAGCATGGAGAGGGTGAGCAGGGGAACAGCCCCAGAATGCTGGCAGGGCTGGGCCGGAGCACAACGAATCCCCTCGGAGCACAGAACACACTGACTGCACAAACCACAGCTAGCTGGAGCCCAAGCCTGGTCACACCTGGGAGCCCAAATCCCCAGATGTTCAGACATGCAAGAGACACTCTGGAATCTCAGTTTCCTGCTTTCATTTTCGGACCATCTATAAATCTGCTGCTCACATGTAGCCTCTGTGCTGGGGAGGCTTTTGTAGTGGGTGACCCAACATACGGCACAGGGAAAATGGGAGTGAAAAAAGAAGGGAAAACGTGTCCCTCCTGGGATCACTGGGATTTGGGCTGCTTGGATCACTCTGAGAGAGAAGGGGGAGGAGAGAGGGAAAGATTATAAAAAGTAATGAGGAGTTGTCAAGGGTGAACTGTGGCAAAATATGAACTACAGAGGAGAGAAATAAAGGAAACAACCTGCCAAAGGGCAGGAGGGACTGGAAAAAGGGATCTGTTGGAATAAACTGTGACACAGGGCTGAACACACACCGAGCAGTGAGAGAGGACAGTGACAACAGGCACAAAGTGGCCACAGAGGTCACAGAGTGGCACTGCCAGGCAGGACAGTGGCTCTGAGAAACCACTTTCTGCAGGGCAGAGTTAAACCCAAGGAAAGTCCTGGCACACCCTGCCAAAGCTTTTGGGTAGGCACTGAGCTGTCACCTGGCTGGGTGTGAGGAAACCCACCTGGCCAGGCTAAGAAAATGTATTTTTAGCAGTCCCAAATTATGCAAATCTGCTGTAATTACCACCTTTTCCAGGGATGTTGCTGTGAAAGATGGAATCTCTCAAGAGAAAAATCAAAGCTCTTCAGTTCTCTATCTCTCCTCGACTCCAGATTAAAGCTCAAGTGGCCACTTCAGAACCTGCTTCCTCGGAGGGACCCCACAGTGCTCACAGAGCTGTTTCAGCTGCTCACTTACACCAGCTCAGGAATCTGCTCCTCTCCTTTGGCCTGGGCTCATTCCCTCCCAGATCCCAGGGCCAGGAAAGGACCTTTTGGAAATCCTATGCTAAACAAAGGATTGATTTGGTCTCCTCTTTCCAAGTTGGAAATATCTCTCCCTACCTTCCTCCCTCCCCATCTTCCTCCCTCTTCTCTCCCCACCTTTCCCCTTCTTCCCTCCCCACCTTCCTCCCTGACCTTTTCCCCTCTTTTTCTTAATTTTCCCCCTCAGGTCTAGGTAGAACACCATGGCACAATCCTGCCTGGTCCTGGAGAGCCCAAGTGGCAGAGCTTGCAGCCTGTGAGAGCACAGACACTATGGTAACATTGACAGCCTTCATTTACATAAAAGAATACTAATTATGTTGTATCATCAACATCTGTGATTCTGCTCACTGCCATATGCGACAGTGTGGGGAGTTTAACCCTTGAGTCTCCCCAGCACGTGCTGAGCAACAAAAAATGAGCCCTACCCACACAATTGTCTGGAGACTGATGACCCAGCCAGGCCCTCCCCAGTCCTGCAAGGTCTTGGGACACAATATTTTCCCAAAACCACTGAATTTGGCCTCGATTTCCAAGGAAGGAGCAGCAATGCTGCTGGTTTCAGCTGGGGAACAGGCTACCAGGAAATCAATCCCACAGCAGATCCAGAGCATTAAGGAATCATGTTAACAATGCAGGAGGCTGTCAGTGGATAAATTACAAGCCTTTTGTCAACTGCTTTTGCTTTTCCTGCATGGGTCAGGAGATTTCCTGTTGGAGCAGGGAAGATTTTAAGCACTGTCTCTCACTTCAAAGCAGCTTTGTTACACCTTCACTCAGGAACCCCCAGCACAAAAGCATCTTTGATGCTGCGTGTGCTATTCCCCACCTGCTTCTCTTTAGGCATCCAGGGATAATTCCCTTGCAAATCCAAGCCCTGATTCCACGGGCATTGAGCTGCTCTGCAAGTTAGAAAGGTGTTTATTTAACCCCAAACCACCTGAATGAGACGCTCTCCCTGTGAGTGAGGCTCCTCCTCCCTCCACCACCAGGATTTCTCCTTCACGTTGAAGATTTCTGTTACTGACTCATAGTAGTGAGTCCTTCCACGAAAAGCACGAATTGGAATTGGCTCTCCCATGCACCAAAGGCAGCTGGAGTGTCTGCAGGACCAGCCCTGCACCCCCCAGGCAGCACACAGCCGAAAAGGGCACTGAAACACCGGCACATGACTAAGAACACGAGTTTTCCTCTCTTTTGGCACAGTACACAAACAATCTCCTCCCAGGAACACGGAGCAGAGGCTCCCAGGGAGAGTGACAAGGCTGTGATTACAGGAGAACACAACCATGAGTCAGAACCCGTAAACACTGGCACCAGGGGGAAAACAAACCTCGCAGAGATTACAGGGCTGGAGCTGCTGCAGAGACTCCCAGGCCTGAGCACAAACTGCTGGGGCAAGTCACGAGCACCAGAGGGGTTAGTGCTGGACAACCAACACCTTCCGTGGGAAAGGTCCTGGAAACAAACACACAGAGCTCTGCTCGATGCAATTACAGCTTAGCACCTTTAATTCTGGGGTTTGCAGCTTTTTTTTTCCTCATGAATCATGGAATCCTGGAATGGCAGGGACACCTCCCACCAGCCCAGGCTGCTCCAAGCCCCATCCAACCTGGCCTGGAACACTCCCAGGGATGGAACAGCCACAGCTGCTCTGGGCAACCTGTGCCAGAGCCTCAGCACCTCCCAGGGAAGGATTTCTTCCCAGCATCCAACCTAAATTTCAGTGGGAACCCATTCCCCCTGTCCTGGCACTGCAGTTTGAGCAAACACAGATAATTCACATAGGTCATGTAGTTTTAAGGGAAACCAACAAAACCTAGAGACAGTTTGTTCCTACAGAGTTTTAACCAAAAGGAGAGGTTAAAAGAAAGGCAAACGTGCTTTACTGAATGTGGCACCAATTCCCACTGGGCTGGTGAAACGCTGCTCTGTGTCAGGAGAGGGATGAAGGAAGGGATGAAGGAGAGGGTCCCAACCCGATTTGCCAACCCTCAGGTTGTTAATCTGCTCTAAGAACTGAAGATCAACTCAGGCCCAATTCTAGAGCATCTGTTATTTTAATAAATTATCCTACTAAGAGGTCAGAGTTCATCCCTCCAATTTGCCCTGAGATGGAACAACAGGACAAGGAAAGCAAGGAGAGAGAGGTGAGTTTGGGGTTGCTGCCACAGAAAGCTGCTCCTGAACCTCTCCAGTTTTATGCAGAGCAGGATATTCTCTTCCTTATTCACTGACTCATTTCCACAGTGCCCAAACC